ACAAAAGCAAACTTGAGTCCTAATTGCTTTGGATGGAGAAGTGACTGTGAAGGATATGGATCTCCTGTGGATGGCTGGGTTTGCAAACTTTGACAGTGGAAGGGATAGTCAAACCACCTCGGTGTTGATGTTTCTGGTAATTACAGTATTGCTCCCACTACATTAGGATGAGCGGCGGAAGTGTATTGAAAGGACGGAGGTCGCTCCGTCTCATAAGCAACCGTCTAAACGGCTAAGCAGCAAATAAAATGTCGAGATGGCCTCGAGCGGAATGGCAGTGGGATGAGGAAAGGGGACAACCTGAGGGAGAAGTAGCAAGAGGTCAACTGGTGATGCCCAATTCATGGAATGCTTGCGCCCCCTCACACATGCACTCTCCATACGTAAAGCAAGTGGTATGTGAAATGCCTTGACTGCGGTTTGGCAGCAAGGAACATCCAATGCGAAATGGCCTGGATGGAATTGTAGCAGTATGGAAGGTCATTTTTCCGTTTACCCTCTTCTCTCTAGTCACCCAATCCTTTGGACTTCAAACTTGGCCTAATTGCCCTATTCGCCTCATCTTGTTTAGGATGACTACCTAAGCAGGTGATATGAATGACGTTCCCTTAGAATTCTACATGGCATTAGGGAAAGGGTCTCTGGATGGGCTCTGCTCCCACCACCCATGCTTCCGTTCTCCAATAGCTTCCTCTATCTGCTTACAACAAATGTGCCTTTACCTCTACGTGCACTACTGCTGCCTCCCTCATCATCATTTAGAAGGAGGTCTCAAAGCAGCAGGTCATGTCTAAGCCGCGCAAGCGTTTTCATAACCGCCGTGCTGATGGAACCGACTCTGTGGGTGGGTGTGTGTCAGAGGAGTATTAGGTCGTGTCGGCTAAAGTGTCGGGTTAATGAAAGACACGTGTTTGACGTTGAAGCGCGACTCCTTGCCTCGATTGTTCTTCATGTGTATTTCATTTCGGTTTTGGTGTACCGACACTTTGAGGGGACTGCATGCACCCTGTCTGCATGGAGGTGCGCAGCTGCATGGCGGGGCGCTCTTCATTTGAATTGTTAATGAATAAGTGCTTTTTTTTCTTACGAAATGAATGCACGAAGGCAGACGGCTAGCAGTGGGGAGGAGGGGGTTATTGTGAATGTTCAAGTTGAATTCACGTCAAACAGGCGTTTCCATTTGTGGAATGGAGTCAGGCACATGAAATCATAAAATGAGGCAGATCAGATGTCCTGTGGAAGCCATCACAGGCTACGACGATTAGTGGTTGCTGTGAGCCGCACGGAGAACCGCACGAACTCGTCTGATCGGTCACCTGAGACTGAATCTCGCAGTCCGAATGACAGTACCCCCCCTTCATCGTGAATGCCTGGCCTTATCACACCAGATTTCCTTACAATTGACAGACTTCCTGTCCTGACACCTTGTTGTCTTGATGTGACTCC